AGTCTCCAGGCTTGCCCACAAGTGAGAACCTCCCCTCCAGGGGCCCAGTGCGCCGTGGCAGAGCCGGGGAGAGGCGTGTTCGTACTCCGGGCTTTCTCCGGGCTTTCTGCGCCAGCCACCCAAGATGCACAAATGTGTCTTGCACAGGCTCAATCCTGCAGCCGCGCTGTTTGGCATTGAAAGAAGGGGAGCGAGGAGAAAGGGGAAGAGAGGGTGACAGTGTCTTGGGAAGGATCTCGAGGACATGAGCAAGCTCTTCAACTTGAATCTCCATCATTTTAGGTTAGACTCAAAACCAAGACCCTCATCCGTTCTATCTCTAAAAGGCAGATTTCTCTCCCTCCTAATTAGCATGATCCCCCCCACACACACACACAGACTGAGATTGATTTTTCAAAGACAAAATTCACATCCCTGCTTACTGTTTGGTTCATTTGGAAGCAGTACATATTCATCAAAGGGACTAAAAAGCCTGGGGAGGTTGAATTGAGAAGAAGGACTACACACAAGGGTCACAGTAAGTAGCACTTCTCATCAAATCAGCTGCCCAGGACTATTAAAGAGCTTTTTAAAAGGGGCACTAATAAGGCCATTCAGCATTTACCATTTTCCACAAGCCTTCACTAAATTTATCCTAGCCTACAATAACCCCGTAAGGTAAAATAATGATTCCTGGTATTTGAAAGCAATCAGTGATCCACAGAGAGGGAGTTAATGCCCCCCCCCCCACACACACACACAACCAAGATTAAAACTGACACATTGAGGGAGGTTCCACTCCCTTCCTGTGATCGAAGGCCAGCTTGTTTGTTTCCAAGCAGGACCTTGGGTGAGCCACACTTGGTCTGAGAGGCCCGAGCCGCAGGAATGGTAGGTAGGCCACGCTCAGCTGGGTTTGCCAGGCACAGCTCTTCTAAGGCTGTGGGAATGCAGGTCTGGCCGTGGGGGTTGGGGAGGTGGTTTGCTAGTTACATAGTCTTTCTTGTAGGTTGTCAGGAGTCAGCTGTGTCTACACCACCACCCCCAAAACACACACACATACACACATAGGGACTCAAACCCTGTGAGGCCTGCCCTGGGCCACCCACATACTGGCACTGTGCACATGGAGGCCAGCTCCCACTCTGCATTAGCTGTGGCGTGGACGCTTAGTCACATCTGCAGAGCCAGAGGAGTGAAAGCCTTTAATTTTCATAGACTCCAGTTCTTTGAGTCAGAGAGGAAGATCCGTGTTGAATTTTTCTTTTCAAGTGATTACTCATCATTTGATTCTGAGGAAAGCCTGTGCTGCAAGCCGGGGAGCTTGGAGTCCCGGAGCCTCTCCCAGGAACAGTGGACCACAGCACCCCGAGGCCCCCACCCCTCTGCTCCCACAGGCTTCCTGAAATTTCAATTCAGAAAGCAAAGGAGTACCCCAGTTCCTGTGTATTGGGTGGGAAGTTGTAAAGCAGTACACAGTCAAAAATAAGCATTAAGGCCACACTGAGTCTGCCCACAGCAGGAACCATAGGGCCACGGCATTTGCATACAGTAGTGCCATTCTCTTTTGTCCCCCACTGGAAGAGCTTGGTCTATTCCATTAAAGATGACTGGGTATTTTATTGATTGAAACGGGTGGGGGGGGAGAGGGATGGAGCTGGACATAAACATATTTGGAAGGCTGATTTTAGTTGTGTTTATGTTTAATAGATGGAATCCCTTTTAACGGCATTTTAAAAGGCTCAGAACAGCTCTGAAATTTTGACATGTGATGAACAACAGCTACAAAAGAGTCACAGCAACATTTGGACACTTTGAAGACGATGGCAGAGACTGTAGTGGTGAGGCATGAGAGAAGAGATCTTTCCTAATTATGACATTTTAGTAGCTGGGTGCAGACTTCAACACGCAGTACAGACACCGCAAAATCGTACTGGGAAGCTCTGCGGCAAGATTCATCTGCCAGCCATCACCATGTGGAGAGTTCATCTTTTCATCTCCTCAAGTAAAAATATCCCTCAGTTCCCCAGTAGATATTCAGTTAGTAAAGGGGGCTGGGAAAAGGCATGCACACTGGACACATCCTCTGCAGGAGATTCCCTTCAGGGACCCCACGGTCTGGGCCAGTGAAAGAGGTGCCCTCTGCCCAGGGCTCTGACTCTGCAGAGATCAGCTTTCACACAGCAGTCACGGGAACAAAGGGCGAGTTTCATCTGCCCACACCCACAGGCCCTGGGGCAGGAGAAGTGCCATTCCAATGCCCATCACATGGCCTCTCGGGCATAAAAGCTTTTAAATAATTCTGATTTTGAATATCAAATTGACATGAAAAGTGAATTTAAGAAGAATAGGCATGATCCAGGCTGAAGAGCATGCTCTATGCAAATAGGTTGGGTGGTCACTTGCTCATTTACAGTCCTGGTTTTCTACTTTGGCTGTGCATTATGTTGCTTGGTCTAAAATTCTGATATCCTATAATGTGCATGCTTGCACACACACACACACACACACACACACACACACACACACACACACACTCGAGAAAGTAGAATTTAATCACTCTAGGATAGCCTAGATATCAGTATTTTTAAAAGCTAAGTGCAGTCAAGACCATAGAGTGATTTAATACAGAGTTCAAGGCCTGTGCAGTCGAGCTCCAGACTGGTTTTTTTGTTTTTTTGTTTTTTTTTTTTTTTTTTTGACTTTTTCTTCCCCCACCCTATCTTAGCTTCGCTTTTGTGAAACCTCCCCTGTCAACCTCACCTTCACCAGTGAGTCACTCCTCGTTCCTGGATCCCAGAACACTTTGTACATATCTTAACCAGCACACTTCTCACATTGCATGAAAGATACAAGCAAATAGGTCAGCCTGCTCCTCCTGCCCACCAGAATGTCGGCCCTTTGTCGTTTCTGCAGTAAGCACGCAGGATGTTTGGCAGGGCATCGGAGTCCATTGCTTGAACGTGTAAATGAATGGATGTCAATCTTGTGTATTAGTCCTGCCCTGCCACATTGAACCCGGCGTTTTGAAGCCAGCCCCCGCTGGGAGACTCTGAATCAGTAGTTTGGAGGTGGGAGATCTACATCCTGCCACTCAAGCTTGCTCCATAGACTAGCAGCATCTACGTTTCAGGGGAGATGGTTATAAGTGCTTCACATCACAGGCAATTCATACGCATGGTACAATTGCAGTGATATTTTCCAGTGACTTCCAGAGGACTCCTACACAGCCGATCTGCCCACCACCATTGGAAACCTCTGTTCTAGGCCTCTAGGGAACACAGTAGACCCTGAACGGTTTCCTCCTAGTTCTTGGATTTTTCTCTCTTCCCAACCTACAGAGCCATTTCTGTTCCTTGAAACCAAAATCATCCTTGCATATTCTGATCATCTTACTATGACCATTCAGTCAGTTAATATTTGAACGTCTCCATTAGGTCCTATGTCAATTAAGTTCATTAGATATAGTCTCTCTACTCTTCAGGAGATCTACACAGAAAATATTATTCCCATTTTCTGGGTGAAGAATGTGAAGTTTGGGACAATTAATGTGATCCATGACATCAAACAGCTAGTATGCAGTAAAGTCTGAATATGAACCCAAAGTCAGAATCCAGGATATGTAGGACCCTGAAACATAGATCCTACCACTTCACCATGTTTCTTCATCAAAGCAGCCTTAAGTAGGGTTTTAGTAGATCACATTTCTCAAATAATTGAATGGGTCTCCTTCACAGTCATGAAAATACTGAGGACCCCAAAGGGTTTTCCATCTGTTTATGTTCTATCTGTAGGTTAGATTAAAAGTTGAAATGGGGGCTGGAACAATGGCTGGCTCAGCAGTTGAGAGCCCTGGCTGTTCTTCCAGAGGACCCCAGTTCCATCCCAGCATCCACATGGTGGCTCACAACCACCTTTAACTCCACTTCCGGGGATTCAATGTCCTCTTCTGGTCTCCACAGGCTATGCGCTCATATGTACATACACACACACACACACACACACACACACACACACACACACACACACAGAGAGAGAGAGAGAGAGAAACATACACATAATAAAAGAAATAATAAAGATAAATCTTTTAAAAATAAAAAATTGAGGCAGAATCTTATGATTTAATTTTCTTTAAAATAGCTTTAATGTGGCATTATTTCATGCTAATATAAGCAACATTCTTTCATTTAAAAAAAAAAACTATATTTTCCCAATCAAAATAGTGAAAAGAGTGACATTACATTTTCGCAGATTTCTAACGTCTGTGACAGAAGCAGATAGTTGGGCCTGTAACCCGGACGGTGGTACATGTGCTGTAGCAAATGTTACTCATGCGGGGTTCCTGTGCCATCCATCACCAAAAGGCTCTGTGCACATGGGCTGAGGAGAGCAGTTTCCACAGCTTCAACCAGGACATTTTGAATGAGTTTGGCAGGGCTCTTTGCCTGCCTTCTTGTTGGGTTGTTTGTTTGTTTATTAATGCTACCAGTGTGCGGCGGTAGGGCGCTCTGCCTGTTGGTACAGCTTGGTCCTATTGCTTTGATTTGTGCAAAGGTTATCAACAGTTCTTTTTTTTTTAATTTAAAATTTTTTATTCATTTTACATTCCAACCACAGATCCCCCTCTCACCCCTCCTCCCGCTCCCCCCACTGCCTCCCTCCACACACCCCATCCCCTTCTCCACCCCCATCATCCACGGGGGCAGTAAGGCCTCCCATGGGGGGCGGGCCGCAAAACCTGGTACATTCAGTTGAGGCAGGACCAAGCCCCTCCTCCCCACATCAAGGCTGAGCAAGGTGTCCCACCACAGGTAATGGGATCCAGAAAGCCAGCTCATGCACCAGGGATAGATCCTGATCACACTGCCAGGGGCCCCTTAAACAGACCAAGCCACACAACTGTCTCCTGTATGCAGAGGGTCTAGATTAGACTACTAGCAATAGTGGACAGGGTTCCTGAACTGGCCTACCCTGGTAATCAGATTGGAATACCCTAACTGTCATCATAGAGCCTTCATCCAGTAACTGATGGAAGCAGATGCAGAGATCCACAGCCAAGCACCAGGCTGAGCTCAGGAGTCCAGTCAAAGAGAGGGAAGAGGGATTCTATGAGCAATGGGGATCCAGATCACGATGGGGACATATACAGAGACAACTGAATCAAGCTCAGAGGAACTCACAAACATAGACCAACAGCTGTGGAAACTGCATGGGACCGGACCAGTTTCTTTTTTTCTTTCTTTCTTTTTTTTTAAAAATCATTGATATTACATCATAAGTGCAAATTTCAACACAGCCAAAACAAAACATAAATGACAGTCTTTTATGGCTATGGAAGTGGTTTTGGTCTAATGGACCACCTTAAGTGACCCTGAGCTCTCTCAGGATCTGCAGGGTGGTATCACACAACCACTATCATAGATTGATTGAGATTTCTTAAAGAACATATAAACCCCAAGTGATTGCTGTAGGCACCTGTAAGGGACAGGATTCTGTGTCACATCACAGTTCTGGCTCTGCATTGTGGTCAGTGTCACTTCGGAGCTCGCCACTGACAGGAGGCTCTCTAGGAGTCTCCAGGTGCTGAGCGCTTGTGAAGCATCAGGACAAGGGACGTGGGAAATGGCTTCTCCAGATGAGTGCCACCTTACAGACATCTTCACAGTGAATCCACAACAACCTCCTTTGTTCCCCTGTTCAGCCCGTTAGGCAATTTAGCAAGGCTTCAGCTTGGAATGCACTACTAGTTAATGGGATCTGATTTCTGTTTATAATACTTAAAATATGATCGATGAAATCATCTATAGTCAGCTTTCTTCTTGAGCTAAATATTTCCCAACATTATGAGGTGGGAAAGGTTTCGTATAGTTCCAAGGTGCACGAAGACCTTTTCAAGCAATCTTTCCCAAGGCTTGCCAGGGTAGCTGCCATCTTGGCAATAAAAAGTATAAACTCTTGGCTAGCTCACTGAGCCAGTGCCCTCTGCCAGGAAGGAAAAAAAAAAAAAAAAAAAAAAACAACCCTATGCCCTTGAGCTAGAACAAGTGCCCTTAGGACTGGGATTTTCTGGTCTCTTGCTGGAGAGGGAGAAATGAAGGTAGTTTGCTTGAATCCCTACAGTGGGAAAACCCACTCGGCACTTCCGTCTTGCTGGGCTGGCTACAGACACTGCTCCTTGACTCCCGGTTGCGCTTTAGAATTCGCTCTGGCTTTACCTGAAGGGTTAAGGAAAAGACAAGACAGAAAGTGGATCCTGTTCTTTCTTAACAGCAAAGCTTGGGGCTGACTCAAAGTAGGGAAAAGGCTGGTCACGCTGCCCAGGCTGTGTTTACTGAACAGAGATCTCTCACACGCTCTAGTTTCTCTGTGTGTCTGTGTCTGTGTGTGGGCAAGACAGACAACCCACAAGATCAACCTGAACTTACTCTGAAAAAATGATGCCGTCTGCCTTGCTGCATTGTTAGGAGAAAACAACAGATTTTTAAAGAAGTTTAAATCCGAATGTGGTGCAGGAGGCCCGTCAGATCATCAGAGAAGGGGTCGGTGAGGTCTAAACCTTTAGCTGGTCCATTCTCCACCCCACCCCAATGCAGAAGATGTTCTTTCCTTTAGGGCCTGTTTTTGTTTGATTTTGTTCAGTTCTGATTTTTAACAGAAAAAAAAAAAAAACTGCATTTTACCTTCCCACCCTCCCTTCTGTGATGGAAGAGGTGATATAACCTCCTGGGCTCTTGGCCTCTGAATCTTCAGAGTGAACTGATCTAAGTCTGCATTCAGGCCCAGCCCACACCTGGCCTGGGAGGCGGCATGACACTAGACTCAGTTGAGTCCACATGTCCCAGACCTCCGGTGATTTTTGTTTGCGTACCTCACCTGGCTCTGTGTGCTTTTGAGCCTCGATGCTGAGGAATGTGAAATATCCCGGGTGACAGGCCCTGCCTGCACTCAGCCCACGGCACCTGGGCACTTTCACACTGACATTGTCACTTTCAGTATAGCGTTGGCACAACACCCCTCTTCTCCTCAGCACAGCGTGGAATTTCTAAGTTGTACTCGAAGGAGAAGCAGAGCCGTGCTTTGAGGTGATTTGTGTTCTCTCTGTGCTGCAGCATGGCCATAGACATCGAAGGGTCATGTCCCTCCCTCGTCTAGACCCGCAGGATGGCTAAGTCTGCAGTGATTCACGAATGTGGAGAGCTCCTTGTACCGGTCATTTTAAGACAGCGGCAGTGTGTCCCATCCCAGCTAGAAAGGCTGTGGGAATATTTTACTGGTGCTGCCTATGCATTCTGGGTCCTTTTCGATCCCCATATCTGTTTTCTCTCTTTCCAAGTACACTTCCTCCTCCATCCCCCAGTAGCTTGCATTTAAACTGCTACTGAAGTCTCTGTGCCTTCTAGGTGGTCCCCATGACTTCAGAGCACTCCCTGTCTCCCAAGGCCCCAGTCTGGATGGTCCACACTGTATACGAGATGGGCTGTGTGGGGATTCCAACAATATCATCTTTATTTCAAAGAGTGCAGTGGAAGGTCAGAAATCAGGCAGCTACACAAATAACCACAGGTTGGGTCAGAGGTCATCTGTAGGCAGGCAAAGCTCAACATTCCTCAAGTGCCATGCCCTAGCAACCACACACAGAGGCTTCCAGTGTAGGGAAGGACTATCATTGCCCATGGAGGTGTGGGGAAAAGGCAGGTCTAGGAGTGTTCTCCTCACCCAGCCACGCCCATACCCATGGGCCCTGAGGACCAGCTTAGCTTCCTACACCAATGCCCACAATTAACAAGCTCCCACCTTCACCATGGGCCCCAGTGTTGGAGAACTTCAGTACTCGGGGGATATAAACTTTTACTGTGTGGGAATATTTTTATTGGTGCTGCCTATGAGCAAAGGACAAAAATGTGCTTTTCGAAGTCCCCTGATCTTGTTCTAATTCACACAGTGTAGATTTTAAAAAGAAAGAGAAAACCCATAGCATTGGGGGGGGGAGAGGGAGGGAGGGAGGGAGGGAGGGAGAGAGAGAGAGAGAGAGAGAGAGAGAGAGCAACTGGCTGAAGAAAAAGGAGGAGGATGTAGGTGGTTTTAGGGAAGTCGAAGTCACCAGAGCAGGAGAAAATGCAGAATACTGTGAAAGTGTAAATGAACATGAAGCATGACTTTTAAAAGATCCCTTCACTTAGAAAGGAAACATCAACAAAAGGCTCTGTGTGTAGTGAGGAATTTGAAGTTATTGGCTGGCAAGGTGGCTCAGCTAGGAAAGGCATTTGCTGCCAAGCCTGAAGACCTGAGTTCAATACCTAAGACCTCACAGTGGAAGGAAAGTTCCAGCTCCCACAAGCCACCCTCTGGTCTCCACGTGCCAGCCATGACACTCACTGTACCACCCCCAAAATATATCAATGTAGTACATTTGTCTAGTTAAAAAACATTATTTCCCCAGATGTTCACTCTAGGAAGCTAGTCAGATCTCATTTAGAATGGAAGCATTACCTTTAATCCCAACACTTGGGAGCCTGAGGCAGGTGGATTTCTACAAGTTGAAGGCCAGCTCCAGTCTACATAGTGAGTTCCAAGCCAGCCAAAGTTGATGATGAGAACTCATCTCAAAAGTCAAATAAAAAATAAACTAATAAACTGAAGCATTAAAATATCATTTGCCAATAAGATAACTACTGAAACCATAAATAGAAATTGAGAAAAAATTCTGACCCCTTAAGCCCTGATTTAAAAAAAAATAAAAAAAGACAAGAAAAGAAACACTTAGTTAATCCACTCACCAGTCTAAACCTACCATGAGGGAATGTAAAATTATTATAACTGGTCATGGAGCTGACATCAAAAGATGGAGGAAAATATCTCAGAAGGTCAGCAGTTCCATAACTGATTACTATCTGGGAGAATGTGATGACTTCAAATCTTAGTCCAGCTGGTTTATTATAACCTTGTGGGAATTTCCCTAAAGTTTCATACCTCGGTAATCAATGAAATATGACAACAGTGTCCATGGCTCTATTGTAAGAAAACGAACAATCTAGAATGTCATCATATGTCAAATTACAAGACAACCTTTAGTGTGGTGAATGAATATTTCTCATTTTTAAGAATCATTTGAGGGCTGGTGAGGTGGCTCAGTGATAAAGTTGCTTGTCACTAAGCTCAATGACCTGAGTTTGATTCCTGGAACTCACGTGGTAGAATGAGAGAACCAACTCCAGAAAGTTGTCCTCTGACCTCCACACATGTGCTCTGTCATGGCACATGCACCACCCCCAACACCCACAAATAAATACGTAAGAAGATGTTTTTCAAAAGAACCAATAGGAGTGTGTATGTGTGTGTACACAAAGAAAATCTTCCCAGCAAACCAAGGGCTGGGGAATGTACGTCAATGATAGTGTACTTGCTTGGTACCCATGAGGCCCTGGGTTTTGGTCCCAGGATTATAGACTAGCCATTTGACTGATAAAGTCACTGAACTGAGAACTAGAACATTGATAGCAAAAATAACAAGTCAACCAAGCCACAAGGAAAAAGTAATCCAATTAACCCGGGGAAAATAGGGTTGACTTCGTTTTCACCTCTCCATTCTTCCTTAATAAAAAGACCACACAGGGGCTGGTGAGGCAGCTCAGTGAGCACAGACATTGACTCACAGGCCTGAGTTAGCCAAGAACCCACTTGATACGAGGAAAGACCCAGCTCTCAAAGGCTGAGCTCTGACTTCTCCGTGCACTTAGTGGATACACACACACACACACACACACACACACACACACACACACACACATACAATTAAAAATGAAATGTTGACTGGGTATAGCAGTGTACTTCTTTAATCCTAGCATTTAGAAGGCAGAGACAGGCTGATCTCTAAGAGTTGGAGGCCAGCCTGGTCTACAGTAGTACGTTCCAGGCCAGCTAAAGCTACATAGAGAGACCTTGTCTCAGAAAACCAAACCAACCAACCAACCAACCAACCAAGTCAAGGAAGACCATTCTATCTTTTGATTTGAGAGACCCGGCTCAGTGGCACTCTTGTGTTACCTCTCTGCAGTGCCCTGGTGGTAAAGACACAGCCCCTTGCTGGTGGCATAGCTTGGTGAGAGGGAATGCTTGGACCCCTGAATTTAATCTCGAGAAGGGAAGAAAGAATGGGGGTTGAGAGGGGGGTGATAGAGATGACAGATTGAGAAAAGGGAGGAGAAGGCATAGGACAGAATAAAGGGAGAAAGAAAAACTGAGATAAAGAGATGGCAGTCATGTTTTATAATAGTTACCTGTCATGTCCAGCCTCTGACCCAGCAAGACCATGTTGTCCACTACAAAGTTCGCACCTGAGTTTTTTTTTTCTTTTTTTTAAATCTTGTATTTTAAGCAAGTTTGCGATTTTGTGTTGTTCCACATTCTTAGCTCTCTGGGGCCGCACAGGGCCCGCAGGCAGCAGGTTGGACACGCAACCTTCAGAATCCAGAGAGTTTAAAGGAACGTCGTGATGTTGCTGATGGAAATCTCTCCCTGGCCAGGGAGTCATTTGGCCTGTTTAAAGGACGCAGGTGTGAGGCAGGAGATGGTTCTGTGAGGTGGGACTTATGCAGGCAGGAAGACTGCCAAAGTGCCAAAGGCCACGTTCACCTAATCAATAAGGGGCCGCAATGTTCCTTTCTCTCCCTCACAAGCACAAGCGAGCAGGTTCTCGGGGCCGTGTCCTGGAGATTAAACTTGAATGTTTTCTTCTTTTCTGTTCTTTAGTGAGAGAAATGCCAGGTCCTCCTACCACCTCAGAATGAATCCTGGTAAGGGGAGCTGCGGAATGAGCTGTCTCATTAAGGGAGAAAGGGATGTGAGGAAAGAAGGGCAGAGGTGCAGGGGGCGGTCCCTTCAGGGGTAGGGTTGCACATGGAGCAGGTGATACTTGTCCGGGTCAAGAAGAAACAGGTAGATGCCACTCTACTACCTGTGTGGGTTGTTAAGTATGGTAGGTAGCATGATGGCTTGTCAGAGACTGAGTGTGACTGGAGAATCATCTGCTCGTACTAATCCTGTGAACGGTCAGCTCTGATCACCTCCGTGGCAGTGGTCTGAGCTTAGTGCCCGGTGCCGGGTGCCCAGCCTCCTGTTCTGCCTCCAGGCCTCACCCTCAGGCTTGGTTTCACTGGGGGTATTGGACTACCCCTCGTCCCTGCACCAGCACGTGACCTGCACATGCCGTCTTGATCCCAAGGAGGTAGCTGGGACTCTTCCCACAATCAACCCACTGACCTGGGCCGGTGTACTGAGAGCCGAGGAGCCTGAACTAGCAAGGCGGCAGGTAGCCCCTTGCCCACTGTGGGACACCCAGGACCGGGTGGCAGTGCTGGACAAGCCAAGGAGATCGTCCTTCACTGGTGCCTGTGTTCTAGCCTCTGAGCTCTGGAACCGCCTCCCTCACCAAGGCCATCCCTGCCTACAATCCTAGCAGATCACCACACCCGAGGAAACACCGTCCTGCCCATGACAGCCAGAAATGAACAGAATGGGAGGGGCCAGAGTGGAGTAAATGAAAGTTTTCTTGTTGGTTTGACATCCTGCTCCCCCCACCGCCCCGAAGAAATGAAGTGTTGCAGAGGTGAGGTGGCTTCATCCCCGTAATCCCAATGCTCAGGAGGCTGAGGCAGAAGAATGATTGAGAGTTTGGGGGCTCCCTGCTTTACCTAGGCAGTTCCAAGCCAGTCTAGGCAGTACGGAGACCCTGGCTCGAACAAAACACAGAAGGTAGAAAGAGGAGTGAGGGAGAAAGGAAAGGAGGGAAGAAATAAATAAAAAAGAAAAAGAAAGGAAGGGAGAAGAGAGGGGACGGGAAGGGGGAGGGAAGGGCTTTTTTGGGCATCATTAGCTTCACAGTCAAGCCAGCTTCCTCCCCTCTACCTCCCTGCCCCTTCGTGATGGGGAGAAGCAGAGAGGAACTCATCGGTCAACAGTTTTCAGCAGGGGTCACTGTAAGAGGCTCCTTCCAACACCCACCGTCCTCCTTTCCTGTCCTGTGGCTAGAGGGATGTGGAAGGGATTTCAGGAAGGGGAACATCTCACTCTCCATCCCCCAGCTAGACAACGGCCTGAGCTGTGGACATGCAGGTCTCCCGTGTGCCCCGCTAAGCAAGGAAAAGAGAATTGGGTGAAGAAGGCAGCTGAGGTACGGGAGGTAGCAGGAGAACTAGCCGGTCTTTGCTGTCTTGTCGGGAATCCATCCAAGGGGGCTTCCCATGAGCAGAGGAGCTCAGGAGCAAGAGGCTGTGTGGTTGCCACCAGTGCCAAAAGGCAGCTCAAGAGGTCCACTGAGCTGGAGCTCAGGGACGGGGTGACCTCTGCTCCACTGCCTTTTCCTGTTGCAACAGTCGTATCTGCAAGTATCTCAAAGCTGAGAGACCAAAGTAGAGCACTGACTTAGATAAGAGGCTCTTAATGTGGGCAGGCTACAGTTTAGCCTCTAAAGAGGCGAGAAGAGTAAAGGAAGGGGCAGAGGTGACATTCCCAGGATGTGTGTGTGGTTGTAACTGATGCTGGGGACAAGTCAGGTTGGAGGGCGGTGACTGGACAAAGTGTGAGCATCCCATACGCATACCCCAGTGAGTTGCCACGGTACAGCAAACATCTGGATAGACGTGAGTGGTGGAGGCCGACGGAAGCTTGGACGAGATTAGATTCCATAGCATTTCCCTCCGCCCAGGTTTTCAGGTTTTGCCTGAAGCAATATGTCACTTGGAAGACGGTGGGTCCCATGCCTGAGTCTAGATGTGTTCAGTCCTGTCTGCAGGATGGCTAAATTAGTCAGCCTGTGGCCCTTGTCTGAGTCCTCAGGGAAATGTGGGAAGAAGGAGCAAATGGAGAAAAAGCATTACCCTAAACCAAGTCATGTTCATCTTAAGGCACACTCTTCAGTCCAGAGAACAAACATTTCAAGAGGCCGTGACAGTGACATGCAGGAAGGTGACCGCACATGGTAGGAGGGTCTCCGGCAGGGCCATTCCTTCCCTTCTGGAAATGCTCAGAACTGAGACAATTCAGGACAAAAGCCTGGGAAGAATGCATCATGGCCTCCCTATTTCCCACCAGGGGCAGGGAATGAGACACAGCAGAAGCCTGTTAGTTATCTAACACCAAATTACTCCCAACTTGCTGGTCTAAAAGAACAAAATAGTTATGTGTTCTCTCCCATGGTCTCTCAGAGTGGGTCAGAAACTTGGGGTCAGCTTAGCAGGATCATCCTAGATAGAAATTTTGATGAGGTTGGTATGATGTCATAGCTGGTGGGTATAAGGACTGAGGACTGGTGGGCTAAGGATTCACTTCCCAGGAGAGCCACCCACAGCTGGGTAGTCAGTCACCTGTCACCTGTCCGATGAGCAGTTGGTGTTGGCTCAGCAGGAGGCCCTAGTTCTCAGCACACGGGCTGGCTTTTCACATGGGCTTGCACACCGGCTGATGTCCTCTAGGAAATAGCACAGCTCCGCATTACCTGCTTACTGAGACTTGTACCCATTTTAATGGAGCACATATGAACCGTAGTTGTAGACATGTTTGATTTCCTAATCTACTGGATAAAAAAAAACAAGTGTTAGAGTTGGGGGTTGGCAGGACACTGCTGGAGACAGCCACTGTGTGGCCAGCAAAGATATCTGGGGGTCTGACTTGCTAAGGATGCAACCGTGTGTGGGTTTTTGTAGTTGTCTATTTAGCTCTGGCAGGGAGGGTGGGGGTGTCGTGCTCAGCACCTCACATGCCATGTCTTGTTCAGTTCTGACTGTTTTTTTATAGTCAAGTCTATTGTTTTCTTCATTTTAAAGGTGAGAAATCTGAAGCTTAAGAGTGACATCCAATTATTAAGGAAAGGGTCCACGGGCGGGTGAAATGGCTCAGCAAGTAAAGATGCATAAGCCTGACAGCTTGACTTCAATTCCTGGAGCCCACATGCACGCTGGGGCATGCATGCCTACACATATAAGTACACATGTATGCATGCACACACACACACACACACACACACACACACACACACACTAATTTTTTAAAGAAAGGGCTTTGTTATACTTAACATCGATTTAATAAAGCAGCTTAGGTGAGATCAGTTTATAAATGCATTCACCCAAAGCAGTTCACAAGGGACTTTTTTAGCACTTAAAGGAGTTAAGTGCAAATTCACTTACAACGTCTGCCTTAGGCTGGGCATGGAGGTGCAGTTCTAATCCCAGCACTCGGGAGGCAGAGGCAGGTAGCTCTCTGTAGGTTTGAAGCCAGCTTGGACTACATAGCAAGTTCCAGGGCAGCCAAGGCTACATAGAGAGACTCTGTCTCAAAAATAAGTGAGTACATAAATAATAAATAAAATGACCTTATGTAACCAGAAGGTTTCTCCGGTTTCGATCAGCCCCAAAGTCCCACAGCCACTTATAAAATAATCATTCAGACGCATAATATTAATTACCAATTGCATGGCCTATGGCAGGCTTCTTGCTAGCTAGCTTTTACGACTTGACCCATTTCTATTAATCTGTAAGTTGCCATGTGGCCGTGGCTTACCAGTATTTTCACATCTTGCTTCTCCTGGTGGTGCTGGCGTCTCTCTCCTTTCTCCTTTCCTATCTCCCTTGGTTTTCCTGCCTGGCTCCATCCTGCACTGCCATAGGCCAATGCAGCTTTATTTATCAACCAAGCAGAGCAACACATATTCACAGCATATAGAAAGGCATCCCATAGCAACCTTATCGGATGACCAATCAGGTGGCTTTGGGGGTGTCTCCCAGCAACATTCTGCATTCTGGGACACAAAGGTCATATAAGGGGTTCTGAGGAGTTTCTATGGGAACAGCCATCTCTATTGGGTGTTTTCAGAGTCCTGTGGGACCCGTGGAGGGGAAGAGGTCTGTGACAGAAGGTAAGGGCAGTCTCTCCTTAGAGTGATTGCCGAGAATGGAACCCAGTCATCGCCATGGTGGGCTGATTCCTACAGTGCTTTTCCTGGCCAACTAGGCAGCCTGGATGAAGAGACACAGGCCTATGCCTACTTTGGGGTGCCCACATGCCACAGCTACCCTCATCCCGGTCTCCAGACTATGGAGACACATTCAAAGAAGTCTTTCTTTGAAAAAAAAAAAGTGTCATCTTTGGACCTGAGGTCAGTCTGGAGCTCATTTGCTCTCTCTCTCTGCCCCAGTTTGAATGTTTTCTTAGCCTCGACGAGCAAACAAATGGAAAGCCTTGCCGGGTTTTCTCTCACAATGATGCTTTAATAGGCCTTTCTAGACCCCACTCCCTCTCCATGGGGGTGATATGGTGCTGTGAAAGATAAATGTCTCTCAAGGACTGTCGGGCGCTTTGGAGGTGATGCATGTGGTGTGTACGTATGGCATGGGGTGGGACCGGGGAGTTCTGATGGGGTACAGGTTCACTCAGGTAAAATTTTCACAGCCCAGCACATGCCCCTCAAGGCCTGAAATGATGCTGGGATAATTTGTACTGCTTTGGATGTCAGTATCTCCAAAGAGCTCTGGAATGCCATGGTTGTCTGGAATTCAGACCATAATGTGAAATGTTTCAGTTTTGACCATAAGAAACTCTAAGGCATCCATTGTTCTTTCTGGAATTTCATGGTTTTTTTGGAACCCAGACCCACAATGTAAAATGTTTTGACCCTTGGCAAGACTTAGGAGTCCTTCATTCTTTCCAGCCTGGGAATGACCCTGGCTTCCATTCAGCAAGCACAGGGTTGAGAGAGAAAGAATTCCATATCTCACAATTGGCCTGTGAAAACTAGAATTGGCTATGGATTCCAATCTTCTGTAGAAATGGAGGGCATGGCATTATCTTTTAGAGAGACAACTATTTCGGACCTTAGAGTGTACATGGAAATTGAAAGAGGATGCTGAATCTCCATCCTTTTCAACAAACTTTGCCACCATTAGTGACTCCCAGGAGGCAGATGTTACATACTCTTAGGACAACAGGAGAAAAACTATGCAATGATGAATTCAAAAGCAAAAGTGTGGTGTTTATGATATGTAATATTTTATGCCACCCAGAAGTCAACATTTATAACGACAACATGTAATAAGCAACTGTTGTTCCTGGGAGGATCATATAAGAACTAGTAAATGAACAAGGCCTGGAGAACCTCCTGAGGATGGAAGCTGGCTTCCCCCATGTTTACCTGCTTGCTCTTCAGCAGAAGGACGCAGAAGCCCATGTCCCACACTCTCGCTGGGCAGTCACTGATCTATGTTATTATTCATCCTTCTCCACTGAATGCAGCGTGGGGTTGTTTGAAGTTGTGCTTCCTAAAGGAAGAACTCCAGGCTCCATTCTCCACTGCTGGTAGACAAGAAGCTAATCATTTGGCCTCTCATCTGTAATTGGATTCATTATCCTGCTTTTGCTGGGTGGTGAGTCTTAGAAATCATGCATCTAAAAGTCTGGCACAGAGAGTTAACTTCTAAGCCCTTAGCTAATGATCATTATTTTGGTTGCTCTTTAGGGGTTTTTAAATTTCATTTTGTTTTATTTAATTTTTGAGTCAGAACCTTGCTCTGTAGACCCAGCTAGCCTGGTACTCACTATACAGCCAGGCTAGACTCAAACTCTCAGTGTGATTGTCTACATAGAACAACTACATCTGGCTTAATGACTATTCTTAATAGTAAGCTGAATAAAGATGATAATTCTCTTTTTAATTTTATTTATTTTACATCCCAGGCACAGCCTCCCCTCATCCTTCCTCCCTTCCCAACCCCTAAATTCCCTCCTCTTCCATCTCCATCCAGGAAAGGGCAGGTCTCCCATGAGATCAACAAAGCATGGCATATCAAGCTGCAGTAAGACTAAGCACTTTCCCATGTGTTAAGGCTGGACAAGGTGACCCAGTGTGAGGAGTGGGGCCCCAAAAGCCTGTAAAAGAGTTGGAGACAGCCCATGTTCCCACTGTTAGGAGTCCCACAAGAAGACCAAGCTACACAACTGTAACATATATGTAGAGTGCCTACATCAGTCCCATGCAGGCTCCTTGATTGTTGGTTGAGTCTCTGTGAGCCCTGAGCCCATGTTGTTGATTGTGTGAGCCTTCCCTGGGTGTCCTTGACCCCTCTGGTGTCTACACTCTTTTCTCCTTCTCCTCTGCAGGTTTCCCGAACTGCACCTAATGTTTGGCTGTGGGTCTCCACCTGCATCTGCCTCCATCAGACACCTCTCTGATGACAATTGGGCGAGGCACCAATCTGGTCACAAGGGACAGCCAGTTCAGGTTACTTATCAAATATGGTAATTCTTAACACCAGCTGAATTGAATAGAAGAACTAGCAATATCATTTCAAATGGATATTCAGAGATTTAATTAAAATTTATGTAAAAGTTTTCAAATATACATAAACGTATAGAAAATAGTAGACTAGACACACACACACACACACACACACACACACACACACACAAACTGCCTTGCCTTTGTGGAATTTTGCTCAAATTATTTAAGTGGTGGGAAATGTAATGATTCCTGTGCTGACCTATGTTTTATCATTTTTAAACCTCCTGGGAGATGATGCCATCTTTTACCAGAAAGGGAAAAAGGCTTCTCAGGAAACTGTAAACAGTGGTGACTTTTACCCTGTTCAGATTTCTTGTCATCTTTCCGTCCCTTAGGTCTGTGTGATATGTCCACAAATGTAATCACTGCCTGGAACACTCAGCTCAGAACAGCTATGATAACATGTCAGGGACACTGAGGTCAACTCCAAGTCCAATAGGGGTGTGTGTGTGTGTGTGTGTGTGTGTGTGTGTGTGTG